CCCTCCGTCTTTCCTCTCTCCTCCCGGCTCGTGTCGCTCTCGTCTCTCCCCACTCCTACCCGTCGCCTCCTCTCCCCGCTCTCTCCCTCTAGAACAGCGCGGGCGCAACATTAGCGCGTCTAATTTCAATCTGCCCCCCACCCGCACCACCACCACCACCAACCCCCCCTTCCAATCCTCGCCCTCATCCCCCCACTCCGTGCGTCACAGACCACATGCCCCCCCTCTCCCCCCCCAACCACCCACTCCTTCCCCGCCCCAACAGCCCCCCCCCCCCGAAGCCCAGCAGCCACGCGGCGGCACGATTGACGTGAGACGATTTTATAAATCAGTGGTGAACGGCAAGGTTAATGGAGGGAGCGCTGTCCGTGGCGCTGATTCCGTGGCGTTTAACCCCCTCAACCCTCCCCCCGGATCCTGCCCCCCACCACCGAACCCCCCCCCCCCCCCCACTTACCTTCCCCCACCCTCCATCAACTTCTCCACCCCCCCATGTGACGTCGCGTCGACTTTAGACGCTGCTTCTGTAATGGAGCGCGCGGAGGCAGCGTGGTCCGTGGGGCCCAGCCCACGGATATGTGGTGGTGGTGGTGGCGGTGGTGGCGGTGGCGGCGGTGGTGGCGGTGGTGGCGGTGGTGGCGGTGGTGGCGGTGGTGGTGGTGGCTGTGGCGGTGGTGCACGTGGGCTGCCTGTAGCCCAGCGCTGTGCGGGCAGCAGCAGGCAGCAAGGGTTGGTGGATCACCACACTCATGTTGCGAAACTGCCTTCTCGTGGGCGCGCAACTGCTCACAACCGGTTGCAGAGAGGTCAGCCGCTCATAAGCAATGCAGTTGCATGCAACCAAGTTGTGCAATTGCGCGTGTGACGATGAACCCCCCCCCCCCACCCCTCCTTACCGCCCGCGCCGCCTCCTCCATCCCCCTGCCCCGCAGCGATTAATGCATCGCCGCTAATTCACGGTCGTGATTTGGGAGTCAATTGTTTTTGTTCGAGCGAATGGACGCTGGCGGGCTGACGCACGACGCGCAGACGAGCCCCGGGCGCTGCACGCCGCGAGCAGCCGGGACCCCACGCGCGTCGCAGCGAGCGGGACGATCGACGCCGCCACGTCGATCGTCCCGCTCGCGCGTCGCAGCGAGCGGGACGATCGACGCCGCCGCGTCGGCACCGCCGCACGCCGCTCGCTCCGCTCCATCGCCCCCGGGGGGCGAGCGGCGTGCCCCGCGTCCGCGCCGCGCGCAACGACTTCCACGACTTCCACGACTTCCACGACTTCCACGACTTCCACGACTTCCACGACTTCCACGACTTCCACGACTTCCACGACTTCCACGACTTCCACGACTTCCACGACTTCCGCGACTTCCACGACTTCCACGACTTCCACGACTTCCACGACTTCCACGACTTCCACGACTTCCCCCCCGCGCAGGCGCGGACGCGACGAGAGGCAGTGGCTCCTCGGCGGGGACAATCGCGCCGCGCAGTTGGAGCTCGCGAAGCGAAGCGGCGGCCAACGACTCCACGCGTGGTGCAGCACGGGCAGGGGGGGGGGGGCCCCCCCGCGAGGGTCACGCGGAGGGGGGTGCGGTACCGTACACCGCGGGCCCGCGGTCATTGTTGGGCATGAGTCGGGCGGTGGCGGCGGTTGCTATGGTGCACGTGGCTGCCTTTAACCCCGCGCTGTGGAGGCGGCAGCAGCAGTGAGGGTTGGTGGATCACCGTGCAGATACGGTGACACTCTGTTCCCGTGGGCGTCGAGGAGACTTACAATGGCTCGCCAGGAGAGGGTTGTGCAGCAAAATGTTGACGAATATCATCATATGTTCCATCTGTATGGGGGTAGAGTGTTTCCCCCTTGCACGCATTGGGGTTTTTTTTCCGGGTTCTCTGGTTTCGTCCCACATGTAAACGCTGACGAACTGGCCGATAACACCTTCATATATAGAGGATCGCAGAGCTTGGGCAGCTGGTGGGGAGCGCCCGCTCCTCGCCACCGCGTGGCTGCCGCTGCCTCCGCGCGATTCGGCTGTGGTTCCTCCTCCTGGCCCCCTGAGTTTATCTCTGTCGCTCTCTGTGTCTCTCTCTCTACGCGAACGAGGAGTGGACATCGTGTGGCGGTGGCGCGGCGTTACGGGCTGACATCGTTATTAAAGTTAAATAATTATTGCGTGTTCACGGAATAAATACGATTTGCAAATTTTCCCAGCTGTGAGAACTCAGGGGTGTTTTTTTTCTTTCTTTCTTTCTTGTCGCTGTTGCCTTTGGTTTGGGTTACAGCTTCAGATCCACGTGTTAAATTAACACCGTGGTCAAAATACGGTGGCGATATCAACAGTGGCCGGTAGCCCCCAAACATTAGGGGACGTCGCATATCCCACCGCTGGCTCTGCAGGCAAGGCTGTAAAGCAGGAGGTGAGCACCAGCGGCGCTAGGCTCACCCTCACCGGGACGCGGTGGGTGCTCTGGTCGTCCTCCTTGTCACTGCTGTTGTTGTTCTTGTTGTTATTGTTGTTGTGCAGTTCACGGTGACCTTCGACCCCGCGGTAACACGGTGCGCTTCCCGCGAAAGCCCAAGCGCCGACTCACCGAGCGTCGAGCCTGGAGGGCGACCGAGTGCCAACGCACACCACCTCGACGACACGCCCGGCCAATGGCGCCGCGGGGGCCACAACGGGGACGCCCCCGCACATACACACAGATGGGCGACGTTTCGGGCAACGGCCCTTCTTCACGGCAGAGAGAGATCTACAACCTTATCTGACGGCGCCTCCACTGTAGACGCCTGGACGAGCCGCTGCTCTCCCTCAAGCTAATGGCGGGGGAGGAAGGGGGCGCTGTCCATGGTGCTGATCCAGCTGGGCGAATGTGTCAAGCAGAGCAGAGGCCCCCAGCGCACACGGTGACGACGGAGAGTGAGCGGATGTGGGGGTGGGAGTCGAGGGAGGGAGGGGCAGGGGATAGAGGCAGGGAGGAAAGCAGAGGAGGGGCGATTGAATCCAGAATGGACAGAGGGAGTAGAGAGAGGCGAGGGAGGGTGGGTCGTGGCCCCAGAGCTGGACCCGCAGCAGCAGCAGCAGCAGCTGCCGATCGCGAGCAGTGTTGTGATTAAGAGAGCACCTAGAGAGAGGGGGAGTGGCGCAGCACCTGGGGTGCATCTGGGAGGCAATTAGCTGGAGCCTCAATTAATTTGGTGGAGCGGCGGGGAAAGGGGGGCAGAAGTGGAAGAGGGGAGGGGTGCTGGAGGAGGAAGGAGGTGTCGCGAGCGACGAGGGGACTTCACAATGGGACGACCCTCATCCCCCAAACCACCCCACCTCCCCCTCTTTGGGCCGGGACCCAAATCCAGGTGGTCTCGGCCACCCCTGTCTGGGGACCCAATCTCTCCCCCACGAAATCCCACTGAGAAGGCCCGGGGCCACTCCAACACGACCACCAAGCGAATCCGCACTCCGAGCCTAACGCGACCGCCCACCACAACGCTAACCACAACCCAACCATCACGGCCGCAACGAACAGGGCTCTGAGACTACACACATGCCTGACCCCAGCCTCAATCTCACTAAACCCCTAACCCCTGACCCCTAACCCCTGACGTTAGTCAACCCCCCCAGACTGTCCCCGACCCTCACCTCACCCAAACCCTAACCCCACACACGACTTAACTCCAACCGCATCAAGCCGGGCCCAACGTTAACCCGAACCGCTATTTCCGGCGGGTGGAAATAGCAGTTCGGGTTAACGTTGGGGAGGGGGGGGGGGTGCCATGCGGTCGTCCCAGGCAGCGTCGGGGGCCGCTATGATCAATGGATCTCCCTCGTTAATCGCAATCATTTGTCCTGCGAAACTTCCATTAGGCAGATGGCAGGGTTCCATTGCAGTTATGGATCGGCGCGGTCGATGCGCGGATCAGATATAACCGCGCGGCGCGTACGGGGGGCGCCCCCCGCGCGGAGGCGGTGGCGGTCGCAATAATTACAGCCGAGATTTATTGCGACTTTGAGCGGCTGTCACTCAGCGCGCGCCGCTCGTTTATTCGCCGGGGCGCCTCCGATCGCAGTTAGGAACGTGGGGTTTAATTAATTAATTGGTGGCGTCGTTAATATTGGCACCGCAGCCATCGCCACCGATATTGGCGCCAGCGTCATGATCAGTAGCATCGTCATCATTATTATCATCGTCGCCGCCGCCGCCAACATCATCCTCAGCACCGTCATCATTGTCATTACATTCACAAACATCATCACCACCGTCAACATTATTATTACCAACGTCATCACCACCACTATCATTATCATCATTAACAACATCAACATTGACAGCTTGATGCTCGCTCTCATTGAATCCCAACCCCTCTGTGAGTCTCCAGTGCAGAGACCCCGAGACACAACAACACCAAGCAAGGCCTCTCACTGAGCCTCAAGGCTCGCTTTCAAGAGGATGCCGCCACACTGGGGTTAGGTGTACAGAGGAAAAACGCATAACGTGGAGAAAAACCGCCACACATTAAAGGGGGTGATACACAAAGTGCTGCAGAGATAGATTCAATAATTCCACTGCTGTAATGCCGTCGCCTGGCCACACGCGGTGCACACGCCCACGTGCACACGCCCAATAGATACCAGGTTCCATGGTTGATTGGATCACTTTCTGTCCTGGTTACCTGGTTGCCCTGTTCCCTGCTTGCTTAGTTGTTTGATTGCTTAGCGTCCAGTACCCATGTTGCCTGGTTGTCAGGTTGCCTGGTTGTCCGGCTGCCTGGTCGTTAGGATACCAGGTTGCTTGGTTACCAGGTTTCCAAGCTGCCTAATTACCAGGTTGCCTTGTTTGTAGGTTGCCAGACTAATCAGCCTGGTTGCAATGTTTAACTGGTTGTAATGTTTCCAGATTGCCAGGTTCCCAGATTTAGAGTTACCAGGTTATCAGGTTGTCTGGTGTTCAAGTTGCCAAGTTACCTGTCCACTCTGTTACACAATCGAAAAACTCCGTAGTTGCCTCACCTGAGCAGCTTGTGCCCGCTGGTGGTGGCGATCTCGGCAAGGCTGGTGAGCGTGCGGGTGAGCTGCGTCTCGCTGTGCGTGCAGAGGTGCTCCAGCACCTGGCGGAGCTGGTGTGGAACGGGGGGGAGCGGGGAGTGGGGGAGGGGGCAGGAGAGTGAGTGGGACACACTACCAGGTCTTGCCATAGCCACCCTACACCACCCTGCACACGACTCTCCATCATGCACCACGCCACACACGACACCCCCTCACACACCACACTACACCCCATCACGCACAGCACATTACCCCCCCATCCCACATCACACGGCACACTATGCCCCGTCACTCGTCACACGCCATACGACACCCCAACACGCACCACACCACACACTACTCCCTATCATGCACCACACCGCAGAGCAGCACGGTTGTCTACGTACGGTGCAAAATAAGTTCAACATACAAAGACAAAAGACAAAGATCCCTTGTACAGCCTTAACATACCGATAGGGCAAATGCTGTTAGCGAGCACCTATGAAGGCCGGCTCGGCACATGCTGGGGTGGGTGGCCGACACCACGTGCACATACAGCATGGTGGTGGTGGCAATGCACGTGGTCTAATCCGGCACCTATGACGTTGAAACTCCCTTCCCGTAGGCGCTGAGGGAGCAGCCGTACTCTGTGGCTCGCCAGGAAAAGGCGGTACAGCAAGTGGACTAATCTTCATCTGTTTCCATCTGTATGATATAGAGTGTTGTCCCCTCGCACACGCGAGGGCATTCTCCGGGTGCTTTGGTTTTCTTCCACACGTAAAAAATATATATTTAAGTGGCAGAAAACATCGTATTATACAGAGGACTGCAGAGCTTGGGCAGCTGTTGGCAGTGCCGATTCCCTACCAGGTGGCTGCTGCTGCCTTCCCGCTCGTCTGTGGTTCCTGGGCGATCGTGAGAGACGCGATTCGTATGAACCACAGCGACGCTACAGAGCAAACTACACATTACATGCAGAATGCACAAGGCACACACACCACCCACACACCACACACAGATACAACACACACACCACACACAGATAATCCACACGCCACCCGCACATACACCACCCACACACACACCACCCACACACACACCATCCGCACACACACCACCCGCACACACAGCACACACACCACGCACACACACACCACCCACATACACACCATTCACACACACCACCCGCACACACACCATTCACACACACACCAACTACACACACCATTCACACACCACCCACACACACACCACCCACACACAGACCACACACACACACACACCATTCACACATACACCACACACACACTACACACAGGTAATATAATACACACACCATCCGCACACATGCCATCCACACACACACACCATTCACACACCACACACAGACCACCCACACAACACCCGCACACACACCACCGACACCCACACCATTCACACACTATGCACACACATCACACCACCCACACCCCACCGGCACACACCACACGCACGCACGCCATCCACACACACACCACCCACACAGCCACCACCCACACACACACCACCCACACACACACCACCCACACAGCCACCACCCACACAGCCACCACCCACAAAGCCACCACCCACACACCACCCGCACACACACTATTCACACACCACCACGCACATACACCACACAGCCACACACCACCCACACACTACACACATATAATATCATCCACACACACACACCCCGCATACACCCACCACACACACACCATCCACAAACCAAGCACACACACTCCACCCCTACACACACACTCCACCCCTACACACACACCAACAACTACATACACACCACACACTCCACCCCTACACACACACCAACAACTACACACACACCAACAACTACACACACACATAAACCACACGCGCCCCATGCGCCCCACGCGCCCCACGCACCCCCATTAAGCCCCCCTCCCCTCGCCGCGCGGTCTCGTGATGTGATGGTAATCTGTGCATGCTTGTGTTTTATAGGCCCATTGGGAATGGTCGCCCCCCCCCCATACCCCCTCTCCTCCTCCACACACCCCCCTCCGTCTCCCCCCTCCGTCTCCCCCCTCTCCTCCTACACTTCTCAACCCCCTTCCACCCCCCCCCCCCCGCGTACCCCCTCTCCTCCTCCGCCCCCCCCCAGTCCTCCCCCCCGCCCCCCCCCCCCGAGTGGGTAATTATTTTCTCGCGACAGAAACACGGAGAGGTTTTGTTGCCGCCTTTTAATTTCCCCTCTCACGCGCAATGAGACTCGCTCCCCGCGAGAGAGAGAGCGGCAGAGAGAGAGAGGCAGAGAGAGAGCGGCAGAGAGAGTGAGAGAGAGGGCGACAGACTTTTAAACAACTTTTATTGCCGCCAGCAGGAAAAGCACTGGAGGCGATTTCGATATGAAACACACAAAGTCACCAGCAAACAAATGAAAATAAACGTTACAAATCCACGCGCTGTGGCGCTAAAAAGCACCGCGCACAACACGAAAGAAAAGTCACGTGGTTGTGGTGGTTGTGGTCATTCGCGCACGCCACGTTGACGAGCGAGCGCTTCAGAAGGTGAACACGTGGGGTGCCGTCCACGCTGGTACAGAGTGGGGCTTTTCCGGCTCCCCAGCGTTCGAAGAAGACGTGCACATCACCGACACGTGTGTGTGGTACGTGGCGTGCTCCAGCCGGAGCCGCGCCTTAAGCAGGCCTCTGACCACTGGAAGCACGGAGCAGCCGTCAGTGTCACCTTCCAGCATCTTTTTTCTTGTTCTGTACACCGCCAACTTCGCCTGAGCACAGGCGAAGTTGGCGAGGTCATGGCGTTTGTTAGCCAGGCAAGGCACCCCATATACGAAGCTGCTGTTGTAGAAGGGTACCCCCAGTTTCCTGAAGATGTCCGCCAAAAGGCGGAACATTGGTTTAAGCCGCTGGCAGTGTAAGTACTGGTGGGGCAGATCCTCCCTGGCACCGCAGGAAGTGCATGTCATAATTCCAATGCTAAATTATATGCTAATTCCTTTGTCAAGGCGCTTTGTTCCTCTCACACAGCTTAAAGGCCGTGATCTGAACGTGGCTCTTTCACTCCAGCGCTGTCCTACCAGACAGTCTCGTCCCTTCACCTGATGAAGGCCGCTTGTGTTGTGGCCGAAACGTCGTGAGAATATTATTGTGTTATTTTATTTTATCAATTTATTATTTTATTCTCATTCTACGTGACTTTACCGAAAGAACCAAAGAAGATGCATAAGTCTGTTACCCCTGGCGAGATCCGGCTGAGCCACACGGCCGATGGCAACGTGCAGTGTGCCAACCTCCACTGGAGGTCACCGCAGCGTTTGGCTACGGGAGACTTGTACATTTGTTTCCACTGAGGGGCGGTCGCAATGAAGGGAGAGAAATGGTCTCTCCATTTTGTGTCCGGTAGGTCGGCCAGGTCCCGGGAATGCAGCGCATTTACACAGCACGTGTAGAGAGCTGTGTTGGGGCACTCGAGAGAGCGGCAGAGAGAGAGAGCGCGGCAGAGAGAGAGAGAGCGGCAGAGAGAGAGCGGCAGAGAGAGAGAGAGCGGCAGAGAGAGAGAGCGGCAGAGAGAGAGAGAGCGGCAGAGAGAGAGAGAGCGGCAGAGAGAGAGAGCGGCAGAGAGAGAGAGCGGCAGAGAGAGAGAGAGCGGCAGAGAGAGAGAGCGGCAGAGAGAGAGAGAGCGTGAGAGAGAGAGAGCGGCAGAGAGAGAGAGAGCGGCAGAGAGAGAGAGAGCGAGGGGAGAGATTGCGAGTGGCTGATCGCTCCATCTGCGAGCGGCGCAATTAGCGCGCAATTAGCGCGCATGTGCGCTCGCGGGGGTGCGGGGGGGAGGGAAAGGGGGGGAAGGGGGGGGAAGGGGGGGGGAAGGGGGGGGGAAGGGGGGGGAGGGGAGGGGGGAGGAGGGGAGGGGGGGGGGGGAGGGGAGGGGTGAGGAGGGCAGGGGGGAGGAAGGGGAGGGGGGAGGAAGGGGAGGGGGGGAGGGAGGGGGAGGGGGGAGGGAGGGGGAGGGGGGCGAGGGGGGGGGAGGGAGGGAGGGGGAGGGGGGAGGAGGGGGGAGGAGGAAGGAGGGGGAGGGTGAGAGAGGGGGAGGGTGGGAGAGGGTGGGAGAGGGGGAGGGTGGGAGGGGGGGAGGGTGGGAGGGGGGGGAGGGGGGGGAGAGGGGGAGGGTCGGGAGGGGGGGGAGGGGGGGAGAGGGGGATGGGGGGAGAGGGGGAGGGTTGGAGGGGGGGAGAGGGGGGAGGGTGGGAGGGGGGGGAGAGGGGGAGGGGGGGAGGGGGGGGGTGGGAGGGGGGGAGGGGGGGGTGGGAGGGTGGGAGGGGGGAGGGGGGGGGTGGGAGGGTGGGAGGGGGGGAGGGGGGGTGGGAGGGTGGGAGGGGGGGAGGGTGGGAGGAGGGGGAGGGGGTAGGAGGGGAGGGGTAAGGGGAGATGGGGGTAAAGCTGCGAGGAGGTTGAGGGGTTGGAGGTTCAAGAAGATGGAGTTCAGTGTCGAGGGAGTGTGCGGGGGACGTGGGCAGAGGATGACGATCCGGGATGGGGGGGCCTGCAGAGGCGAAGGGGGCGGAGGGAAGATGAAGGAGTGGGGGGCTTCTGATGCTGCAGTCTGCAGCGCGGCATGGAGTGGCAGGGTGCAGTGTGGTACCGTGTGGTGTGCTGTGGTGTGGCGTGTGGTCTCGCAGTGTGTAGTATGATGCGCTGCTGTGTGGTGTGCTGCCCACCATGCTCTCAGAGACGTTGGGGTCTTGCGCCATCTGTACCAGTGGCTGGAAAAGGCGCGGCTGGTGCAGCAGCAGAACCTCGCACGTCTCCCCATAGCCGCCCTGCACCACACACGGCACACCACCCACAAGACATACACGGCACACCACACACCAACCACAGCACACACCACCCACACCACACACGGCACACGCTTTTGGGGACCCCCGGCTCTCTCCCCCTCTTTATCTCTCCCAACCACACTCAACGTCCCAACACCTCTCCCTGCCTACCCCTCTCACTGTCCAACCAACTCCTGCCCCCCCCCCCCCACTGCTCTATCCACGCACATCAGCAGCGCTCGAGTGCCGAACTGACATCGGCGGCGTCCCTCGCCAGAGGACAACCACCCAGAGCCGTTCCCTCGGGTGCACGGCGAATCTGGGCGCTTTTGGGGACCCCCGGCACTTTGGGGGACCCCCGACGCTTTGGGGGACCCCCGGCACTTTGGGGGACCCCCGGCGCTTTGGGGGACCCCCGCGCTTCGACGTCACGGTGTCAGATGTAATACTTCCGATTTAGTTTGAAGGCGTCGGGGGGGGGGGGAATGGGGCAGGGCCCGCACCCCCTACGGACGGCCTCGCAACCATCAGTCGCCACGGAGCGCCGCTTCCATCGCCCGACGGGTCTCGATGAGAGTCCGTTCGTGTCCATGTGGGTTCATGCGTCCCCGTGTTAGTACGTGCGTCTCTATGAAAGTCGTTGAGTCTTCGTGTAAATCCGTCGGTCTCGATGTTACTCGTTGGGTCTGTGTGTACATTGTTGGGTCTTTGTATTAGGCTGTGGGTCTCCGCGTAAGTCTATGGGTCTCTGTGTAAGTATATTATCAACTCATTGCTGCAAGGAATAATAGGATTTCTTTCTATCTCTCCCACTCTCCCCTCCCTCTCTCCCCGTCTCTCGGAATCATTAATATGATTCTCCGCAAACTACAATTAAGCTGCCCGCAAGGATCAATGCAAAGGAGGTGAAGAAAACATCCACTTGAAATGTTAATCTCCTCTACCGTGATTAAAGGTGATTGTGTGCGGAGCCTATCCAAACGAGCCAATCCGCTAGCAGCTGCGCACATGTGCGCGCGCGCGCAAGTGTAGGTGTGTGTGCACCTGAGCACGTGTGTGCGGTGTAAGTGTATGTGTGCAGGTGTGTGTGTGTATGGTAGTGTAGCGATTATCGCACTGCGCTACGAAGCCGGCGACCCGAGTTCGATTCCCGCTCACGGTCAACACACAACACACATTATCTGAACCGGTCCTGGGCCTCCCCTAGGTCGACTCCACCTCAAATGAATACCTGGTGCGATGTATAAACATCGTTACTGGGGAGACAAAGGCGGTCGGGCATGTTTGTTGGCCACCCAACCTCTCGTGCAACGTTCCGGCCTTCATAGGTGCTCACTAACAGCACTTGCCCCTACAGTCTGTTAAGGCTATATGGGAGATATTTGTCTTGTGTGGGTGTGCACGCAAGCGTAGGTGTGTGTACAGGTGTGTGTGTGCTCACGTGTGTAGGTGTGTGTACAGGTGTTTGTGTGTGCCCACGTGTGTAGATGTGTGTACAGGTGTGTATACAGGTGTGTGTGCCCACGTGTGTAGGTGTGTGCACAGGTGTGTGTATGTGCCCACGTGTGTGTGTACAGGTGTGTGTGCCCAAGTGTGTAGGTGTGTGTACAGGTGTTTGTGTGTGCCCACGTGTGTAGGTGTGTGTACAGGTGTGTGTGTGCCCACGTGTGTAGGTGTGTGCACAGGTGTGTAGGTGCGTGTACAGGTGTAGGTGCGTGTACAGGTGTGTGTGTGTACAGGTGTGTGTACAGGTGTGTAGATGTGTGTGCCCACGTGTGTGTGTACAGGTGTGGGTGTGTGTGTGTGCCCACGTGTGTTATCACGGTGCGTCGAGCGTTTGCGTTTAGACGTGGAGCTGGGCTGTAATCCCATAACTCGAGGAATCGATTACTCTACCGATTAGTTTAACACGTAGGCTTTCGCGACAAATATTATTCGTTAATAGTTTAGCACACCGGTGTGCTGGAGATTAAACCTCACAACATCGACCGATCGGATTACACGAAAATAATTTGGGTGGGTGGGTGGGGGGAGGCGGCGGTGTCGCCTCTGTTTCTCTAAGTGTGCCGCTGGACGGGAGGTTATGGCCGGCGCTTGGTGATGCCATGAGCATCGTCATCAGCCGTGGCTTGTCGGGGGTGTCCCCTGCCTTCAATGAGGCAGGGCGGCGGGGGCATCCATGCGCTTTAAAGGGGCCCCGAGTATTCGAGCACACACAACACACACGGCACACACAGCGCACACAACACATACAGCGTGTTCAAGTGTGCGTGTTCAAGTGTGCGTGTTCAGGTGTACGTGCTCCGGTGTGCGTGTTCAAGTGTCCGTGTTCAGGTATTCGTGTTCAGGAGTGCGTGTTCAGGTGTGCGTGTTCATGTGTCCGTGTTCCGGTTTGCGTGTTCAGGTGTGCGTGTTCAGGTGTGCGTGTTCAGGTGTGCGTGTTCAGGTATCCGTGTTCAGGTATTCGTGTTCAGGTATGCGTGTTCAGGTGTGCGTGTTCAAGTGTGGGTGTTCATGTATGCGTGTTCAGGTGTGCATGTTCAGGTGTCCGTGTTCCGGTGTGCGTGTTCAGGTGTGCGTGTTCAAGCGTGCGTGTTCATGAGTGAGTGTTCAGGTGTGCGTAATTCAGGTGTGAGTGTTCAGGTGTGCGTGTTCAAGTGTGCGTGTTCAAGTGTGCGTGTTCAGGTGTGCGTGTTCAGGTGTTCGTGTTCAGGTGTCCGTGTTCCGGTGTGCGTGTTCAGGTGTGCGTGTTCAAGCGTGCGTGTTCAGGTGTGAGTGTTCAGGTGTGCGTGTTCATGCGTGCGTGTTCAGGTGTGAGTGTTCAGGTGTGCGTGTTCAGGTGTGAGTGTTCAGGTATGCGTGTTCAGGTGTGCGTGTTCAAGCGTGCGTGTTCAGGTGTCCGTGTTCATGTGTGAGTGTTCAGGTGTGAGTGTTCAGGTGTGCGTGTTCAGGTTTGGTGAGTGCTTGTGCGGTGCGCCGCGCACCTGCCGGCCCCGAGTTTGATTTCGGCTCAGGGCCAGCCACGGTGACGAATATCTGAAACCACTCCCTGGGCGTCCAGCTCGATGATCATGTTTGTGTTACTGATCTCGTTATTGTTATACGTAGCGGGGAGGGGGGGGGGCGCAGCAAGAGAGCCCCCCCCTCCCCCCCAGGGAGTGAGGAGTATTGTTGGTGGGGGGGGGGGGGGTAACACAGGACGTGAGCGAGGCTGCTGTGATTGATTGTGAATAGGCGCAGGAGAAAAAGGCCACGCTTAATGCATTGTCCCCCGATGGCCAATTACCACGTGGAGGCGCTCTCACCGCAAAGCCACGTGGAGGCTGCCCGCGCGTTTGCAGCGAGGGGAGGAGAAGCGTGCGATGAGTATAACGAGGTTGAGCGGAGATTCGAGCGAGCGAGGTCATTTACAGGATGTGATGCCGAGTTGACTTGCCGATGAGCGGTAACAGCGAGATCGGCCTCGACAGAGGAGGCTCGTGAAAGACGCCACGGAGCAAGTTGGTGGCAGTCACCCGGGTGGATAAAAACAACTCGGCGACTATGACACAGTGGGGAGCGCAGTTGATGCATCGGCCAATCATCTCAGTCAACCCATGACGCCTGCGTCTGTTCCGTAACCGGCGAATCTGCGACACTTCACGTGGCCTTCAGATACACTGCACCTGGTACAAGCGCCGTGGTGACGTCTCCGCCACTGAGTCGTGACGTCACCGCCACTGAGTGGTGAATGACGGTTGCTGTTGTTGTCTTTGTGTGTTTATACGTGTGTGAGCCAGTGAGAGTGTGTATGTGTGTGTGTATCTATGAGTGACAGTTTGTGCATGTGTGTGAGAGTCTGTGATCTCGGGCACACCTCCCCCATATAGCCTGAACAGACTGTTGGGGCAAGTGCTGTTAGCGAGCACCTATAAAGACCGGCACTGCACACGAGGGGGTGGGTGGCCAGCATCACGCCCGGCCGCCTTTGTCTCCCCAGTGGCGATGTTTACACACTGCACCAGGTACTCATTGGAGACCGAGTCGACCTAGGGGAGGCCCAGTACTAGATCAGATAATCGTCACCGGTGTGAGCAGGAATTGAACTCGGGTCGCCAGGTTCTTAGTGCAGCGCGCTAACCGCTACACTACCGCTCCCCATACATACAGATACACAGACACACACAGATACATTCAAACATAGCACAGATATCCTCACACACACACACGCGCGCGCGCAGATACATTCGTACATTGCACACACACAGAGATACACACAGACACATCATCTACATATAGACGATCCGGTCTGAGTGAGTGAGTGACTGATGGAAATTCCACGAACATATTTGAATTTTTCGCTCCTAAAACGATGGCCCGCAGGGTTAAGTGGGTTCGCTCGTGGGCCAGGCTCCCACTGCAGGTGTAAATTGTTTTAAGTCCGCGGTGCTAAACACTCGCAAGGAGCGATGCCCTCACATCCCCCACATAGCAGCGGAGCTCCCGCGTGGAGTGTGACTGTCAAGCCGATAGAAAGCAACGCTTGGGACCGGCCGCAAATGTTACCGGTGCTGCTAGCGAACAGCCATGGGCGCACGAGGGGCATGGTGTGGCCTGAAAAACCCATGCCCGGCCGCCTTCATCATCCCCGGTGGCGATGTCTAACGCACCGCGCCCCACCTTGGTGGCCAAGCAGAAGCTGCCCGGGCACACGGGCTACGTGACCCAGCCAACGCAGCTCGCCTCGCCTGCCAGAGGCTCGCCGATGATGAGGACCGTGTCCAGATCACTCAAAAGATCTGCGAGCTCCTCCCACTGTAATCCAGCCTGGTTCAGATTCACACCTTGAGGGGGGCGTGTCCTCACGGAGGGGGCGTGTCCTCACGGAGGGGGGCGTGTTAGACACGTCCCCCTCAGTGAGGCAGATGTGATAGCTGCCTCCCCTGGTGCTTTTTCATTGCAGTTTCATGGCGAGACCAGCGAGCCTAAATATCTTTATACACACACGTGAAATAAGTTAC